TATAGGTATTACATAGCATTTGATGATGGTCACACCAAGTACACATGGTTGTACGTGCTTAAACAAAAGTCTGAGGCTTTACATGCCTTCAAAACGTTTTCAGCATTTGTGTAAAGACAATTCAATGTTTCAATCAAATCTTTCCAATATAATTTGGAGGAGAATTTAGAAGTTTCACTAAGTACTTGGTAGAGTTAGGTATCACACATAGGCTAATTTTCTCTCATACTTCCCATCAAAATGGGACAGTAGAGATAAAATATAAGCAAATTGTTGAAATGGGTTTATCTTACTAGTTCATGCCTCTTTACCTACTGAATATTGGGATTATAGTTTTTCCACCTCAATTCACATTATGAATAGGGTTCATACTTCCACTTTACCAAACTTTCATTCTCCTTTTCATGCTTTGTATGGCAAAGATCCAGACTATTCTACAATGAAAGTGTTTGGGTGTTCATGTTTTCCCCTTCTTAGACCTTATAACAAACACAAACTGCAATTTAGAAGTCAAGAGCGTGTGTATCTAGATCCCTCTCTCCAACACAAAGGTTTTAGGTGTTTGAATAAAGATGGGAAAGTGTATGTTTTCAAGGATGTCACCTTCAATGAACACACATTTCCATTTCCTCACCTGTTTCATCCCAATCCCAAGAGTTTATCTACAGAATCTCAACAGACAAGCAATATTTCCTGTCTTACATCAGGCTCCCTTGGTCTTGTTAATGTTCCCTCAAGCTTCCCACTCTTCAGTTTAAGGGGGTGTTAGAAGTATGGTATAACAACATTATGGTGCACCTTCTGTAAGTTATTATTATGGTGTAACAGTTTTATTTTGATATCCTTTGCCAGCTCAACATCTAGTGCTGACTCATCTTGTATATATCTACATTACACTTCACTATTCGATAATGAGGAGATAAGATAATTTTCCTCTTACTGTTACATTCTGTTTTTCATCTTCCGTTACACAAAGTGAAACTTCCATTGTAGCACCTTCATCCACACATAGTGTAGGATGAAGAGAGTACAACTCTAACAACATGGACTATATCAAAATACATGCATGTCGTAATGATTGCATATTATACAAGAAAGGGTGTGAAAATGGAATCAATTTTCGAATTAGGGCGAGTCACGCTACAAGTTGAAGGTGTTGGTGTTGATGATGCGTATATGGGTGAAAATGTTTAGATATGTGCCATGTTGTTTTGTACAATCAATAACTAATTTTATGCATATAGTAATTTTCCTAGATACAATGTTATGGGACATAATGTGTGTCCTATAAGTGGTGCTTATACATGCCACCACCAACTAAAGAATGATAAGAAAAAGTGTTTTACCTTGGACATCAAAAGTTTCTAAGACTCGATCATTTATATCGTAAATTGCACAAGACTTTTAATGAAAAATATGAGTTTGATATTTAGATTTTGTGTTCTAGTTTATTTAAGGTGGATGTATCTAGTAGAGTGATCCATATTTTTGCAACGTGTGAGGTAACCTTGTTGTTGTGGTATATGATTTTCAGTTAATTAGGGTGGTCTTTTTGTTTATTTTAAGAATATCATGTCAATATTTTATTTATTTATTTATTTATTTATTTATTTTAAATTTAATTGGGTCTCATAAGATAGGGAATGACTTAGTTACGATTTGACACTCGGTAATTTGGTCTATCTGCCAATCTCATAATAATTTTGTTTTCTCTGATACACTTGTAATGTGGAGGATTTGGAGGAATTGAGCATTCTTTTTATATGAAATTGGTTTCTTAAAAATTCTACAAACTGCTCTTGCATTTTCTTTTGTTGGCTAGACAATCATATTTTTTGTTTGAGATAGTAGCGATTTTTATTGCTTCTTTGACTTTTGAGTTCTTGTGTTGGAGTTGAATTTGGCGATTCTTGACCTTGTGTTGCGGGGTTTCTAGTCCTTGAGATGGTTCTTTCCTTTTTTATATGTCTCATTTATTTTTTTAATTTTTATGTTGTTGTATCTTTTGTCTTTGATCACTTCTAGGCACCCTATGCATCTTGTTTTGGCATTGTTCTCTGTTGAATTGTTGTATTTTGTTTCTATTATTTTTTCATGTATATTTATTTATATATTTCTATTTTCCATTTAAAAGAAAAACTCAATCAAACTACTTTAGTCGTGTTTAACACGTGTCGGTGTGCGATATATATATCAGCTATAAAAAAATTATTATTTTTTTGACAAATTTTTGGGTACCCTTTAGTTTTAGTTAGGTACCAATACTCTTAATGTAATTAATTTAATGTTTTAATATTTTTTTATAAATGAAATAATATTAAAAAGTAATGTGGAATTGAATATTCTTGTTTGATTGAAAAAAATACTGATACTCAACTAAACTATCTGAGTGTTTATTTTACTTTTTGACACTCTTTAAAAACATTTATTTACTAAAAAAAACCATCGTTTTAACAGTTTAATCCATTCTATTGGTGGACCATATATCATAGATATTCGACAGCTTAAGTTAAACACAACCAACTAAATTAAATCTTTTTTAAACAAAGAGAAATCGTACGTCAAAGATGCTGAGAAAAAGCTAGTATAAAGTAAAATATCTACCCTCTATAAATTGATAAGGAGAGGTAATTTATAAATGCTCACTACATGTTAAAATTTGACAACCGAATAAAATCAAGGTCTTGCAAACTTCCAATTCATGTTAAGAAATTAATTGATTTTTAAATTATATTTTCACTACTTGGTTACATCATGCACCACAATGATGTGAAGATAGTAATACTATATTAGTGAAAATGATAAAATACAATTTGTTTAATAAATAACAACAAAAATAAGAATTGATCAATTAAAAATTGATGCATGTATAAAAATTGCAAAAAAAAACACTAGCTAGAAATTAATCTAGTCAAATATGAGACATGGTCATGTTGTGATCTGGACGATTATTCCCTTTTATGTATTGTTTCGTCGTATTCTTTGGATTTTACCATCCTTGACAGTTTGGTGTGAGTGCATATGGACACACGTGCATGCTTGTTTTTTCTCACAACAATTTTAACAGGTAGCTAGCCGTTCGATATGTTTATGTAATGCCAAATCTTGTTTGATGTTTCTCTTTCGTTTCAAACCTAGGGCATATATAAGCAGGTACTAAATAAGATTCCGTAACCATGAGTGCAATAAGATTCCGTAACCACGAATACAGACACAGACATTCGATTCGATGAAAATATTTTTTGATTAAACTTATTTGTCTAAGTCAAATTTTGAATTACTCTAGTTCATGATATTTGTTCTGTGGAGGAACCATAGATGTCTATTTTGATGCTGTTGAGTAAGTTTTCGGTGCAACGGTTAGAGATCTCCTTGTGTTTTAGGAGTTAGTGGTATGTGGTGAATTGTTAGATGACCTCCAACAAAGAAAAATGATATGTAGCGTGGATCAAATATGAGTCTGAAGTGTATTGTACTTCCAACACTTTATGACTTATGATTGAACCTTTTGTTATTAAGTCAGTCATTGACCAGTCCAGAACAATATTCGTGCATTGAAAAGGCTTTTACTTTGGACAATTTTAGTTTTTTTCTTCTAGTGAAAGAAAATTACAGCATTTTAATGGGTGTGTATCTATCAATCATAATTTTTTGAGAAATGACATGCACTTTCACATTGACTAGGTTTAAAAGACACAATATTTGCCTTTTGTGGAACATGAACATTAAAGAAGGTGCTTGTGATTGGGTTGCCTTCTCTTTCCAGTCACACTCACAAATGAGACATAATGATTTCCTCTTTAGTACGAAAATAGCACTTGCTTTGATTCAAATGGCTTTAGCTATGAGGGTCCTTCACCCTCACCCATATTTCAGTAACCTGTTTTATACAAGGGCATATGAATATCATTACGTAACCTTTATGTACATGTACTATAACAACAAGGTAAACAACAATTTACTATTACCCACATGAATTGTACAGTTATTTGGGTTCAGATTCCAAAATAGTTATACGCAATAGGTTTAAGATTCAATCCATCCTTGGATGTTAACGTTACATGCGCCAACTGTCTTTGGGTATATTATTATTTCATATTGTGGTCCACAATTAGGGTTGCAAACAAGATTTTAAATTGTTGTTAGAGTCGCTGATGCATATTTCGGACTTTGCAGCGAGAGATATTTTTTGTAATTCTTACTGCAACTAACTACGTATACTCTGATGCAGATTGATGCGGTCGTAAATGTGATCAAGACAACATTATCCGATAATGTGGTCAGCTATTCAAAATTATGCAAGGGATTTATATTCGCCATTCTACATTGATCACATTCTATTACTATATTCAAAATTACATTGACAAATGTGGGTGAAAGACGCTTGAATTAAAAGCTAAAAGGAGTTGGAGGTTTAGAATGCAACTTCTAAGAATGTTTTTTTTAAAGTATGAAATTTTTTTCAAGTTTTATAAGTTCCTTACTATTAATATTAAATACATATATACACAATAGATATATAAAACTATATAATAAAAAGATGAAAAAGGTTATTGGATGAAAAAGGATTAAAAAAATAAGAAAAGAGAAAGCAAAACAAATTATGGGATAATCATTCCAAATGGAGATCAACTTTCTTCCAACCTCATCATATGTGTCATCATACACCTTTGCTTCTTCATCTCCCCTCTCCCTCCCTCCTCCTTTATCTCTCTCACTCTCTCTCTGTCTCCTTTAACTTTTCACCGCCTCCCACAGCATCTTCCATTTTTTTATTCCACCTCAAAAGTAGATAATTATATCAAATAAAAAAAACATGCATATGAAGAGAGAGAAAGAGAAATCACATCTTGTTGCATATATCATCACTTCCTTTTGTTTAGGGTTGAAGCCATATATATAACTAACAACAAACCTATCTTCCCATATTCTCTAAGCCTAAGTTTTTCTCTTTGTGAGTTTCTTATATTCTAAATTTGAATTAATCAAACAAATTTAACATGTTAACAAAGATGAATGAAGTAGAAATCACAAATGTTAATTTCCTTCAAAATTCAACAACTAGTGCTTCTATTAATCCTCCTCCTTTGAAGAGAAAAAGAAACCTCCCCGGAAATCCAGGCATGTTAATTTTCTCTCTTCATTTTATGATTGATTTTCATAACTAACTTCCTTTTTGATAATAAAAATGATGATTTATTATTATGAGGATCTTTTTATTTGCGTGCAGATCCTGAAGCTGAAGTTATAGCTTTATCGCCGAAGACTTTAATGGCTACAAACAGATTCTTGTGTGAAACGTGTGGGAAGGGTTTTCAAAGAGATCAAAATCTACAACTACATCGACGTGGACATAACCTTCCATGGAAGCTTAAGCAGAGAACAAACAAGGAAATAAAGAAGAGAGTTTATGTCTGTCCGGAGAAGACTTGTGTTCATCATGATCCTTCGAGAGCGCTTGGTGACTTAACTGGGATAAAAAAGCACTTTTGTAGAAAGCACGGTGAAAAGAAGTGGAAGTGTGAGAAGTGCTCAAAACGCTATGCTGTTCAGTCTGATTGGAAAGCTCATTCAAAAACATGTGGTACTAGAGAATACAAATGTGACTGTGGAACTATCTTTTCAAGGTAACTATAACTAACCTATTCAATATCTCAGTGTTTTTTTTCTGATCACAACTTTCTTATCAAAATCCGATAAATAAGATTTCGTTACTTTGAAATATTAGTTTCTGTATCTGCGTGCAAGAAACTGATATAAAGATCAAATTTAAAAGTGGTTTGGTAGCTTTGGACTTATGTTCTTTGGCTTTTGAGAGTAAAAAGAGAATGATGCTTAATTAGTTCAAAACAAATTAAGGAATTGAACAAAGATTAATTAAGCCAATCAAGTTTTTTATAAGCCTTTTTGTAGTCTTTGCCCTAAAAGACAAAAGTTCATGATTTTGAATTATCTCAGTTCATTAAACTCATTTACCATACATAGGCTTGATTGTAAAAGTCTTCATGTAGTACAAAATGTTTCTAGTCTCTCTCATTTTGACTTTTGTTCGAGAAATCTCGCAATCCAAGTTCTTTCAGACTATAAATAAGTCTTATAAGTTCGCAAATCCTAGTTCAAAGCCAGTATTGTTAGGTTAGACGTTATAACCAGGATTCGAATCCTGATCCTCATAATTGTGTGTCTGAGTTTCTAATATTATTATTTTTGGATATTATATTAATGGTTTGTGAATATATTTGGTTGAGCAGGAGAGATAGCTTCATAACTCATAGAGCTTTCTGTGATGCCTTAGCAGAAGAAACAGCAAGGGTAAGTGCAGCATCAGAAATAAACCACAACTCATTAAGGAGTAACATTGGTAACTACAACATGATGGGAACATCTTTAGTTCCTAACAACATGTCAACCCATTTTCCTTCAATTTTCAAAACAATTTCATCTCCTGATCATCATCATCATGAAACAACAACCAATCAAACTAGAGGGCTCTCCCTTTGGATGAACCAAACATCTCAGCCTCATGAAACAATGATAACCACCAATGGAAACACTAACTTGCATGAGATTCATGTTAATCAACATTTTGACTCATCATCATCAAGAGGATTAATATACGGCGGGATTGAGAATCCGAACTCGAATAACTATCAGCTAAATTGGGTTTATGAAAATAAACTTCCCACAAATTGTAGCCAAGAGTTAATCACTAGCGCAGCAACTTCACTTCCTTTAGGAATCAATAATGTTAATGTTAAGGATGTTGTTGCTACTCATCATGATGCTACAAGCCAACAAATATCTTCCTTGTATAGCTCACAACACCAAATACCATCGCATCAAACAACATCATCGGCAAACATGTCGGCTACAGCTTTGTTACAGAAAGCTGCTCAAATTGGAGTAACCTCGACCGACACATCGTTCCTCGGAAGCTTAGGTTTGAAATGCAGTGATAATAATAATATTGATGTGAACAAGCTTGGTGGTGGTGCTGGTATGTATGGTTCAAGTTCATTACTCATTAGTCTTGGAAATGAGGAAGATCACAACACTACTGCATGTGATTTCTCACAAATGCACCCTTCTAAACGTAGACATGTCCAGAGTGAAGAGAATGGAGGTGGAGGGCAAACTAGAGATTTTCTTGGTGTTGGTGTGCAAACCATCTGTCACCCTTCATCAATCAACGGATGGATTTGATTTTATCATCATGTATATATAAATTCACTTATGAATTATGATCTTTTATTTTTTTCTAATACGAATTTATGTCTGTCAGATCCTCTACATTCACGTAGTCAGCACATCAGCACTCGTCTAAAAAACAGTAGGTTTGAATTTAAACTGTCTGATTTTGATTGAACGGTTGCCGATGTTTGGACTTAATGAATAAAAGGAATTAATTAACAATAATAACCAAGTGGATGAAATAAAACTGAAGTATCTGAAAACTTTGCAAGGAGGAAAAGGTGGGAAATGAGTGCATGATGGAGTGTGAAAAGTTTGTTGTTAGAAAAATATAGAAGAGCTTAAAGGAGAGAAAGAGAGATCCATGCATATTCTTTTGAAAGCTGAAAGCTGATCCCTTTTAAAAATGGTGGCTTTATTTTAATTTTTTTTATAAAGAGAATGTGATTGTGGAGTAGTGGGGGCAAAGCAAAGGACAAGTTTGGGAACTCCATTATTGATTACTTTCATATCTGTTGTTGTGATTGTTGTCTTTGTCAAACTGGGCTTAATTAAAACAGAATTTTTTTCAAGTGACAAAAAAAGAGCATCATTCTTTCTAGTACAAATAGGCTTTTAGCTTATAGATTAAAATTAATTAATTAATGTGCTCTTTTCATTCACCCTTTTAGTACAACTAGATTGGCTAAAATTTTGTGCATGCATAAGAATGAACCTAAGAAGATCGAGGAGACACACTACAAATTTTATTGTTGTAAGTTTTTTCTTTCTCTTCCTTTTTCCACTTGCTCTTCTTTTCATGCACTCGCGGAAAGTGCTGTATTTTATATATATATATATATATATATATATATATATATATATATATATATATATATATATATATATATATATATATATATATATATATATATATATATATATATATATATATATATATATATATATATATATATATATATATATATATATATATATATATATATATATATATATATATATATATATATATATATATATATATATATATATATATATATATATATATATATATATATATATATATATATATATATATATATGCTAAACTAATAATAAAAGTGAGCTTGATGCAAATAGGTTACTGAAAGTATTGATTAAATAGTTATTTGATAATCTCGACTCTAAAATTAAGTTTTTGAGAGAAGTTGTATGTAATTAAAAATTTAAAGTTGATTAAGATAGTCTTTCTGAGGAAGAGATTGGGGCCATGACTGAGTTATTGTGGATATTTGGTTCTTATTAAGGATTTAAAAATTGCTTTTGTACTAGAGATTTAAAGTGAAAGGATGGAAATGCTAATTATTTTTTCATGCATGTATCAAAATTACGAGAGGGAAAATACAATTTTAGCTATTAGGTTCGATGATAGCTGAATTGAAAGGGTGCATGATATTTCTTCTCCAATTATTTTACAAAATCCTCTTCGGGTTGGGCCTTGAAATTGTGTTTAACACTCTTGAGGATAATGCTGCCTTTTCTATTCTCTTTTTTTCTACTTGAGTTAGATTGAGAATGTGAGGAAGACGTGTTTACAAAATAATAGTTGAGGGAGAATATTTCTTTATAATTGAATAAAAGAAATGGCTTTTAAATAGTCTTACAGAAATTGGATCAGAGAAAAAGTAGGCCACACTAACAAACACTAAATACGTGGGATAGTGGCAAAGAAATAGCTAAAAGCAGCAACTCACTAGCAGCACTAACATTGCTTATTCTATCCGACAATAAATAAAAGAAAAACTACAATTTTAACATCCTCCCTTAAACTGATTGTTACTAACAATCAATTTACTACTGGTTATTGACACACTCCCAATAGGTTGCGCAATTTCACAAAGGCGTCAAGTTTCAAAGGCTTTGTCATCGCATCTGCCACTTGTTCTTGAGTACTGCAGTGAGCTAGTTCTATGGTTCCATCCTTTGCGAGTTCACAAAGAAAATGGAAGCGAACATCAATGTGTTTGCTACGACCATGCATTACAGGATTCTTAACAAGTTTGATTGCTGAGTTGTTATCACAATAAACAGTTGTTGAGCTATTTTGAGTATGTCCAAGCTTCTCTAAAATCTTTCTCAACCAAACAGGTTGACAAACACAAGTAGATGCAGCTATAAATTCTGCTTATGTAGTACATAAAGATATTACAGGCTGTTTTTTTTATAACCAAGATATTGCAGCAGAGCTCAATAGAAACATATATCTTGACGTGTTTTTTCTATCATCCAAATCACCTGCATAGTCACTATCAATATACGCGGCCAACTCTTCATTTCCGCCCTTCTTACAAAACACACAATAATCAACTGTCCCTTTTAAGTATCTTAAGATTTTCCTTGTTGCTTGCAAATGTAGTTTAGTAGGATGCTCCATGTACCTACTTATGAGGCTAACAACAAACATAACATCCGGTCAAGTAGCCGTTAAGTACATAAGGCTTCCTACAATCTGCTTGTAGTAAGTACTATCTATCTTCATGCCATCTTGATCCTTTTGAAGCTTCTCTCCAAGAACCATTGGATTAAGAACAGAATTACTTTTGTCCATTCCAAATCTCTCCAACACTTCCATCACATATCTTTTTTGACTAATGAATATGCCATCGGTCTTTTGCATTACTTCAACACCGAGAAAGTACCTCATTTTTCCCAAATCGGTCAAATCAAACTCAACAATCATGGATTTTTTGAATTCAACATACATTGACTCATCATTGCCAGTGAATATCAAATCATCAACATACAAGCTTATAATTAGAATTTTACCTCCAGTACTCGTCTTGACAAACAAAGTGTGTTCATGAGTGCATTTTTCAAAGCCTTCCTTCAAAAAGTATGATTCTATGCAACTGTACCAAGCTCGTGGAGCTTGTTTCAGTCCATAAAGTGCTTTCTTTAACGTGTACACCTTATGCTCATTGCCCTTAATTTCATATCCGCAAGGTTGTTCCACAAAAACTTCTTCATTAAGTACACCGTGCAAAAATGCCGACTTTACATCCAACTGATAAACGGTTCATCCCCTTTGAGCAGCAAGTGAAAGCACTAGTCGAATTGTATCCAATCTTGCCACTGGTGCAAAGACTTCTTTATAATCAACTCCATATTTTTGAGCATATCCTTTTGCTACAAGTCGTGCTTTGTGTTTGTCTATTTCTCCATTCTCATTAAGCTTTGTTTTGAATATCCATTTCACTCCAACTTTCTTTCCACCAGCCGGTAAATTTGTCAACTGCCAAGTGTCATTCTTCTCTATTGATTCTAATTCCAAATCCATGGCATTTCTCCATTTTTCACTCTTCATAGCTTCTTCAAATGAAATTGGGTCAGCACATGCAAACATGGCCATGTTAGTCATGCTTTCTTCTTCTTTTGACAGTCCTTCTCCACTTTCATAATCCCTCATCCACACAGGTTTTCGTATTATTCTTCTATTTAAATCTTGCCGACTTTCTTCAATTGACTCGTTTGAATCAGAGTGATTAAGTTCTCCTTCTATTTCTTCATTGATGCTTGTATCATTTTCTGCACTAGCAGCATCGGCATATTTATCTTGTTCATCTTCCCACTCAAACGTGACTTTGATGTTTTCCTCATGTCTCTTATCCCAATCCCAACTTTTATCTTCTTCAAAAACAACATCTCTACTAACAATAATCTTATGATAAATTGGATCGTACAACCTGTATGCCTTTGATTCTTCACTTACGCCAAGTAGAACACAATTAGTACTTTTGCTGTCTAGCTTTGTTCTTTTTCTGTCAGGTACGTGAACAAGCAAAACACATCTAAAAACTCTAAAGTACTCAACTAATGGCTTTACATCACTCCAAGCTTCTTCGGGAGTCTTGTTTTTCATAGAAATCGTTGGACATCGGTTCAACACATGAACAGTCCAATTTATAGCCTCGGGCCAAAAATTCCTTAGGACTTGTTTCTCATACAGCATGCAATAAACCATGTTCATAATGGTTTTGTTTTTCCTCTCTGCTACACCATTCTGTTGTGGTGTATATGCAGCCGTCAATTGCATTCTCCTTGCAAAATTTATTAAATGTTTGTGATGTAAATTCACCACCCCTGTCAGTACGCAAACATTTGATGAATGTATTTGTTTCTTTCTCTACGTGATTTTTAAAGCTTCTAAAAGTGTCAAAAGCTTCAGACTTTTCTACTAAAAAATATACCCATGTTTTACGACTATAGTCATCAATGAAAGTAATCAGGTACCTCTTTTTGCTATTTGAAGATGGTGTAATAGGTCTGCATATGTTAGCATGTATCAACTGTAGGACTTTAGATGCTCTCCACGTGCTCACTTTAGGAAATGGATCCCTCTGTTGCTTTCCCGCAAGGCAGTATTTATAAATTTTAGAAGGAGGTTTGAGTTGTGGCAGACCATTCACCATCCTTTTTTTCTCAAGAATCTTCAAGCCTTTAAAACCTAAATTTCCAAATCTACAGTGCCACAACTAAGTTGAGTCTTCAGTGATTATGTTGAAACAAGCCGATACACTTGACTGGGGCTGAACCGGCAAAATAAACATTTTGTTTAAGGACATTGTTGTTTCCATGATCAAGCCTTTCTCCTTATGATATATCTTGCATTTTCCATGTTGAAACATGATTGTTAACCCTTTTTCTTGTAGTTGACCAATGCTCAACAAGTTGTTTTTTAGCTCAGGTACATAGAACACACTACTAATGATATGTGAAATTCCATTCAATTTAAATCTCACATTTCCTTTTCCTTTCACAGCCATGCTGGAATTGTTTCCCAACTTCACAGTTTCACTAAAATTTTCATCCAAATCAGAGAATACTTCCTTCTTACCACACATATGATTACTACACCCTGAGTCAAGGAACCATGCTTCTTCCTTAACTGATTCTTTATTTTCCATGAATGCCATCAAAAGCATTTCTTTTTGAAATTCTGTAAAATTGACTTCACTCCCTTTGCTTGGACATTC